TTGAAATAAATGTAATAGATTGTGATAATAGATCCTTACTGATTTTTGACAATAGATTGTCAGGTTCTATTCTGATTTTTTAAAAACCTGAAACTTTTTGAAATAAATGTAATAGATTGTGATAATAGATCCTTACTGATTTTTGACAATAGATCGTCAGGTTTTATTCTGATTTTTTAAAAACCTGAAACTTTTTGAAATAAATGTAATAAATTGTGATAATAGATCCTTACTGATTTTTGACAATAGATTGTCAGGTTGTATTCTGATTTTTTAAAATCCTGAAACTTTTTGAAATAAATGTAATAGATTGTGATAATAGATCCTTACTGATTTTTGACAATAGATTGTCAGGTTCTATTCTGATTTTTTAAAAACCTGAAACTTTTTGAAATAAATGTAATAGATTGTGATAATAGATCCTTACTGATTTTTGACAATAGATTGTCAGGTTCTATTCTGATTTTTTAAAAACCTGAAACTTTTTGAAATAAATGTAATAGATTGTGATAATAGATCCTTACTGATTTTTGACAATAGATTGTCAGGTTCTATTCTGATATTTTAAAAACCTGAAACTTTTTGAAATAAATGTAATAGATTGTGATAATAGATCCTTACTGATTTTTGACAATAGATTGTCAGGTTCTATTCTGATTTTTTAAAAACCTGAAACTTTTTGAAATAAATGTAATAGATTGTGATAATAGATCCTTACTCATTTTTGACAATAGATTGTCAGGTTGTATTCTGATTTTTTAAAAACCTAAAACTTTTTGAAATAAATGTAATAAATTGTGATAATAGATCCTTACTGATTTTTGACAATAGATTGTCAGGTTCTATTCTGATTTTTTAAAAACCTGAAACTTTTTGAAATAAAGTAATAGATTGTGATAATCGATCCTTACTCATTTTTGACAATAGATTGTCAGGTTCTATTCTGATTTTTTAAAAACCTGAAACTTTTTGAAATAAATGTAATAGATTGTGATAATAGATCCTTACTGATTTTTGACAATAGATTGTCAGGTTCTATTCTGATTTTTTAAAAACCTGAAACTTTTTGAAATAAATGTAATAGATTGTGATAATAGATCCTTACTGATTTTTGACAATAGATTGTCAGGTTCTATTCTGATTTTTTAAAAACCTGAAACTTTTTGAAATAAATGTAATAGATTGTGATAATAGATTCTTACTCATTTTTGACAATAGATTGTCAGGTTGTATTCTGATTTTTTAAAAACCTGAAACTTTTTGAAATAAATGTAATAGATTGTGATAATAGATCCTTACTGATTTTTGACAATAGATTGTCAGGTTGTATTCTGATTTTTTAAAAATCTGAAACTTTTTGAAATAAATGTAATAGATTGTGATAATAGATCCTTACTGATTTTTGACAATAGATTGTCAGGTTGTATTCTGATTTTTTAAAAACCTGAAACTTTTTGAAATAAATGTAATAGATTGTGATAACAGATCCTTACTGATTTTTGACAATAGATTGTCAGGTTCTATTCTGATTTTTTAAAAACCTGAAACTTTTTGAAATAAATGTAATAGATTGTGATAATAGATCCTTACTCATTTTTGACAATAGATTGTCAGGTTGTATTCTGATTTTTTAAAAACCTGAAACTTTTTGAAATAAATGTAATAGATTGTGATAATAGATCCTTACTGATTTTTGACAATAGATTGTCAGGTTCTATTCTGATTTTTTAAAAACCTGAAACTTTTTGAAATAAATGTAATAGATTGTGATAATAGATCCTTACTGATTTTTGACAATAGATTGTCAGGTTCTATTCTGATTTTTTAAAAACCTGAAACTTTTTGAAATAAATGTAATAGATTGTGATAATAGATCCTTACTGATTTTTGACAATAGATCGTCAGGTTGTATTCTGATTTTTTAAAAACCTGAAACTTTTTGAAATAAATGTAATAGACTTACTCATTTTTGACAATAGATTGTCAGGTTGTATTCTGATTTTTTTAAAACCTGAAACTTTTTGAAATAAATGTAATAAATTGTGATAATAGATCCTTACTGATTTTTGACAATAGATTGTCAGGTTGTATTCTGATTTTTTAAAAACCTGAAACTTTTTGAAATAAATGTAATAGATTGTGATAATAGATCCTTACTGATTTTTGACAATAGATTGTCAGGTTCTATTCTGATTTTTTAAAAACCTGAAACTTTTTGAAATAAATGTAATAGATTGTGATAATAGATCCTTACTGATTTTTGACAATAGATTGTCAGGTTCTATTCTGATTTTTTAAAAACCTGAAACTTTTTGAAATAAATGTAATAGATTGTGATAATAGATCCTTACTGATTTTTGACAATAGATTGTCAGGTTCTATTCTGATTTTTTAAAAACCTGAAACTTTTTGAAATAAATGTAATAGATAATGATAATAGATCCTTACTCATTTTTGACAATAGATTGTCAGGTTGTATTCTGATTTTTTAAAAACCTGAAACTTTTTGAAATAAATGTAATAAATTGTGATATTAGATCCTTACTGATTTTTGACAATAGATTGTCAGGTTCTATTCTGATTTTTTAAAAACCTGAAACTTTTTGAAATAAATGTAATAGATTGTGATAATAGATCCTTACTGATTTTTGACAATAGATTGTCAGGTTCTATTCTGATTTTTTAAAAACCTGAAACTTTTTGAAATAAATGTAATAGATTGTGATAATAGATCCTTACTGATTTTTGACAATAGATTGTCAGGTTCTATTCTGATTTTTTAAAAACCTGAAACTTTTTGAAATAAATGTAATAGATTGTGATAATAGATCCTTACTGATTTTTGACAATAGATTGTCAGGTTCTATTCTGATTTTTTAAAAACCTGAAACTTTTTGAAATAAATGTAATAGATTGTGATAATAGATCCTTACTGATTTTTGACAATAGATTGTCAGGTTCTATTCTGATTTTTTAAAAACCTGAAACTTTTTGAAATAAATGTAATAGATAATGATAATAGATCCTTACTCATTTTTGACAATAGATTGTCAGGTTGTATTCTGATTTTTTAAAAACCTGAAACTTTTTGAAATAAATGTAATAAATTGTGATATTAGATCCTTACTGATTTTTGACAATAGATTGTCAGGTTCTATTCTGATTTTTTAAAAACCTGAAACTTTTTGAAATAAATGTAATAGATTGTGATAATAGATCCTTACTGATTTTTGACAATAGATTGTCAGGTTCTATTCTGATTTTTTAAAAACCTGAAACTTTTTGAAATAAATGTAATAGATTGTGATAATAGATCCTTACTGATTTTTGACAATAGATTGTCAGGTTCTATTCTGATTTTTTAAAAACCTGAAACTTTTTGAAATAAATGTAATAGATTGTGATAATAGATCCTTACTGATTTTTGACAATAGATTGTCAGGTTGTATTCTGATTTTTTAAAAATCTGAAACTTTTTGAAATAAATGTAATAGATTGATAATAGATCCTTACTCATTTTTGACAATAGATTGTCAGGTTCTATTCTGATTTTTTTAAAACCTGAAACTTTTTGAAATTGTAACCCCTGATCCCGGAACCCAAACCAGTTCAGTCCTAGACTCAATCCCAGACTCTAATTCCCATTTCTATCTTCCCATTTAAAATTAATAGTTTTCTCTTCTTTGAACTTTGCCTCTGCACTTCCGCTTAATTCCGCTATATTATTGTTTACAATTACAACTATTCATTCCCAGCCTTTCCATTATTTCACGTGAATTCCTATTATTTCCACTTATTCCCAAACACTTCCCATTATCCATCCACATGAACTCCTATTATTTCCTCTTATCCCCGACCACTTTTTTCAACTAATCACAGTTACAATAACCATTAATCCAACTTGTTGACTATTGCCTATCCCACTTCCCACTCCCCTTTTCCCGACTTATAAGGTTTTCATTCCCTCCAATAAACACCTCAGTTAGTCTCAGTTTATCTCATTCTCAGTCCATCTTATATCCTCAGTCCAGTCCAATCTCTGTTTATCTCAGTCCAGTCCAATCTCAGTTCCTTCACTTCAATCCATTGTTCACTATCCTATTATTCCACTAAAATCCTATTTCAATTACCAGTTCCATTCCATACTATTATCGAACATATTAAATCCTATAAATTCTAAGCCTGGACGGGTCGTTGCACCATTATTGTATACGATGTTCATGCTGTAGAAAAATTCATTAGATGGGAGATGGAATTGAACCATCACGGCAAGGGCCCAAACCGAAAGCACAACCGACTGTGCCACCATCCAACCCTATGAAGCGTTATTTATTTTCATTTATGTTCTTTCTGCAAGTGCGGACAAAACACTTACCAAGATTTAAGAAGCGTTTGCATGCGTATTTGAAAACTTTGTCATTCCATCCTTTAAGATTAAAATAAGCATTGTTAATTCTATCTTCAAGCTCTTTCTTTTCATTTACTTTCATTAGATGAGTAATGCTTTCCTCATCAATGCTATATGAGAGAATAAGTGTTCAGATCAAGTCATCCACATGTAAAGATGTCTTTTCTTGTTTTTGATTTTCAAAAGCTTTCATCGCACAATTGAAACGAAAAAGTAGAAAATTCTTTAGTTTATCTTTACTTTCCAATATTTCCATGTAAAGGCCAATATTATAATTCTCTAGGCACTTTTGTTCGGTATTCTTCACATAATCTTGTAGTTTTTTTATTTGACTGTTTAACCATCCGCTCTTAAGTTGAAAAAATTTTACATGTTATGCTAATGTTTGAGTGAACCAGAGTTGCGCGTCATTACGAATTAGTTTTTGAGTTACGAATTGCAATTACGAAAATATCGGAAAAAATTTCGCATTGCGAAAATAAAAATTATGAAAAAATATTATTGCAAAAAGACTCTCGCACTTTGTCATTAAATTTTTTAAGGAAAAGGTAAAGAAATATATTTATATTTTTTCCCTACTTTTTCTATTGAGTTACGAATTATGATTACGAAAAAAATTTTCGATTATGATGCAACTCTGGAGTGAACTCCCAGAATTTACCTTATTTTCTATTAGCTTTTCATTACAATTTGGATCAAAACGCCAATTTAAAAATTGTTCAAGTTTTTCAGCATCTAATACACTTTGAACTTCTGAGAACTCTTTAAAATCTACTTTATCATTAACCAGTTTTAAATCTGGATTAAGAGCTATCATTATCTTCATTGCCACATTTAAATCCTCTAATTTTTGAGTAGAAACAATTTCTAATAAAGCATTTGTGTCTTTATTTTGAATTGATTCGTGCATTATAGTTGCAATATACAGTGGTTTTGTAAGCAAAAATGCATAGAGAAACTTTTTGTTGATCTCAGAAAATTCCAAAGGTTTCGAACTTTTCATTTTAAAAAGTCCTTTATCGAAAAAATTATCAACACATTCGATATAAAGATGCAAACGAATTTTTGCGAGCTCATTTTCAATTTCACCAGTGAGCAGTCCCTAAAATTATTTGCAAAAATAATAAAACTTCGTAGATCGTTAAAATATCTAGATTTTTTAAGCTCACCCTGATTGGATTCCCAATTTTTCCGTTCTCGTCAAACTTCAAGTTGTCGCAGAAGGCAGAAATTATTCCAAATCGGGCTTGATCATTAAACATCGCCATATCATTCAAAAACATATTTACACATTTCTCGTTTTCATCACATTTACTAGCATTTTCTAAAATCCAAGCAATTTGATTCTTTACATGTTGATCAATTTCATATATTTCAGAAGAAATGTCGAATTCTTCTTTTGCATCGAAAAACTCTTCTTTCTTTTCTTTAGACACTTCTCCATTCACATCAACAAAATTAAAACAATAAAACAACAAAATGAAGTTTAAAACAAATAGTTTTAACATCTTAAACGATAAAATTTTTAATTAATTATCAAACCTTTCAAATGTTTTCCTGGTTTTAGTGCAGGGTATAAAAAAAATTTATAGAGGATTTTCCCTATTTTTGACCTTTTCGCCCTATTTTTTCCCTATTTTCTCATCTACCATATTTTTGCCCTATTTTTACAATCTTTTAAAATTTCAAAAATTCTTCGGATATTGTAAAAAATGGTAAAAATGAAGGATTTTTGACTTCCTGACCTTCCAAAATCCTCAAAATTTTCGCCTGCGGAGCAAAAAATGGAAGAAATTTGGCTTCTTGACGTTCCAAAATTTTCAAAATTTTCGCCGTATTTGAAATTTTAATTATGCTTAAGCTTTGAGGGCTATGCCCTAATTTTGAGTGGCTGCGCCCTATTTTAGTGTTTTAGAAGGGGCCACCCTGTCTTAGTGTTAAGTCCTAAAAATTTCAACCTCGTACTTTTCTTTCAATTATATTCAGGCTTTAAAAGAGAAAAACGAAGGCCAAAAAGTGAAAGACAAGACAAAAATATGAATTTTAATAAAAAATGGTTAGAATTTAAAAATCGCTGTCGATTTGAGTGTTTTTATAGCCTGTAAATCGACGTGTAAAAATAAATGCGATGCGTCCTCTCTATCACTGCCATTAAGCGACTTGCTTATTCTATCGTAGCCCCTAATTTGACTTTTTTTACATATATTTCGAAATAGCCTAAAGTCTTGTCAAAAATATTTAGCTAGTTGTCAAACGTTAATTGATTTTATTGTCATGCCCTTTAAAATTGGTTAAAAATTTTTAATGATTGGCAAGTCGAAGGCATAATGCAGATCATGTGTCTTTGCTTTCAAAATGACCTGGGACGTGTTTTTAAAGTTAGACCTCCGAAGAACCGGATTTTGTTACACCGGGCCGAGTTCGATTTACAAAAATTAGGGAAAAAACATAAAATTAAAAACAGATTACCTTAATTTGACCGAAGAATGTGTTCAAGATTTTCACGTCATACCTGATTCTCTAATATATCTCGCTATTTTGAGAGAGATATATCTCGCTATTTTGAGTCAACTACTTGATATATCTCGCTAATTTGAGTATATCTCGCTATTTGAGTCAAAAATATATATCTTGCTATTTTGAGTCAACAACTTGATCTGTTCAACAGGATTTCACAATCCCGCATTCTTTTGAGTTGCGAGATTTTATGTTAATACGGATTAACCTCGTGGGATTTACTCCGCAAATTGACTTCTGTGATATCATTAAAATAATTTGTACTTTTTTGGAAGTTACCCTCTTTAGAAGAGAGTTGAAAAATCACGTACACTATAAGTAGGGCAGGGGACGTTCGAGAATAGCAGTTTGAGAATGGCCGATTGGGTATGGCTTTGGTAATTGACGGTTTGAGTATAGCTGTCTTTATAAATTCAAGTACTACAATAGAATCCAAACATCTATTTGTAATTTTATATAAAATAATTTTGATTACATGAATAAATGGGACTCTAGAGTTTCTTTTAACACTTGAAAATCAAAAAATTTATTTCATTACCAAAATATTATTATATGGGACTCTAGAGTCTCTTTTGACACTTGAAAATAAAAAAATTTATTTCATTACCGAAAATATTATCATATGGGAAAATATTATCATATTTTCCCATATGTTATCATAAAATATTATCATATAAAATACATTCCGATCTAACTGAAAAATAACCCAATACTTAAGGAAAAAATGACATGAAAAATTAAAACATAACTCGAGAATCAAGTTGGAATGGGTATCTCTTAACGTAATCGGTACGGAATACTGAAAAATAACGATAAACTTCAAAATTTTACCGATAAATAACGAAAAATACGGCCGTAGTACGGTACTTGCTCTATTCCTAATCATATTTTTAAAAATACTGCCTTATTGACTAAAGGTTCTTTGACGCAAGGTTAATAGACAAAAAATCATGGAACCTAAAACAAACGAAGAAAAGGATACTTATATATTTGTCAACTCCTGTATGTGTTTTTATTATGAATGTGTCTATAAACCAACCTTTATTTCCTGTGGGAAATAATTTTTGAAAGCTGTCCAATTATTTTTCTTATAATTTTTATTTGGATATTTACCCAATTTGTTTTTGAAATTTCTAGCAAACTCCTTAATACTTTTAAATATTTCATGAACAGATTTTTTAAGCTCAATATTATTTGTCGTTTGATTTAAATTCGTTTCTATGTCTGACTCTCCATTTTTTAAACTCTTTTCTTTGTAGTTTTCATTTTCGTCAATTTTTAAAGCGTTGAGTGCGGCTGTTAAATATGGAAATAATTCTAAGAAATTTTCTCGCAATTTGTTTTTATTGTTCCAATTGTTGAGAAAATTTTTAAGAAAAACTCGTAATTTTTCCGTCAATTTATCTCCATGCTTCTTGATTTTACTGAGTTTAAAATAGAGCTTTTCTATAGGCGTTTTCTTCATTATAACATTTTCAATAACAACCACAAACGAATTAATTTGTTTAAACTCATTTAGGAACACAATGTTTTTGCTGTTTGAAGCTTTATTTCTTATCCAATCAATTGGTCTCTTCAAATAATTGAATATTTTCTCAATTAAACGATCCACAAAACTTTTGTTCTCAACATTATCAAAAAGTTGTATTGCTCGAAAATCAACAAAATCTGGCGAGTAATTGTTACTGGAATCTCCGCTTACTGAAAAAGAAATTATTCTTATTTAGTCAATTCAAAGTCAAGAACGAAAATTACAAAACCGGGGAGAGCAAGTTTAGATTGACGGTAAAGGAACAGTAAGGTTTCTAATTAGCTAAAGATACTGTAGAGCATATAGCTATTTATTTCCTAAGGCTGTGCAGTATTCGGCGTGGTATAGAGGATAAAACACCAGTCCGGTCTACTGAAGATGCTGGTTCGCCCCCAGCCGCCGAATAACCTTTTGCACTAGCTAAAGGAGAGAAATAGCTATAGCCCAGCTGCTTTACTGGTAGCCTAAAGTCTTATCAAAAATATTTAGCTAGTTGCCAAACGTTAATTGATTTTATTGTTTTTATAGCCTGTAAATCGACGTGTAAAAATAAAGGCGATGCGTCCTCTCTATCACTGCCATTAAGCGACTTGCTTATTCTATCGTAGCCCCTAATTTGACTTTTTTACATATATTTCGAAATAGCTCGAAAAATGACAAGGAAAAATGACAAGGGAAAACCATTTTGTCCCTTGTCATTTTCGAAAAATGACAAGGGACAAAATGTTCAAAAAAACAATATAACAGTCGCATTTCGCGACACATGTGTCTTTGCTTCCAAACTGATCTGGGACGTGTTTTTCAAGTTAGACCTCCGAAGAACCGGATTTTGTTACACCGGGCCGAGTTCGATTTACAAAAATTAGGGAAAAAACATAAAATTAAAAACAGATTACCTTAATTTGACCGAAGAATGTGTTCAAGATTTTCACGTCATACGTGATTCTCTAATATATCTCGCTATTTTGAGAGAGATATATCTCGCTATTTTGAGTCAACTACTTGATATATTTCGCTAATTTGAGTATATCTCGCTATTTGAGTCAAAAATATATATCTTGCTATTTTGAGTCAACAACTTGATCTGTTCAACAGGATTTCACAATCCCGCATTCTTTTGAGTTGCGAGATTTTATGTTAATTCGGGATTAACCTCGTGGGATTTACTCCGCAAATTGACTTCTGTTATATTCATTAAAATAATTTGTACTTTTTTGGAAGTTACACTCTTTAGAAGAGAGTTTTGAAAAATCACGTATACTAAAAGTAGGGCAGGGGACGTTCGAGAATAGCAGTTTGAGAATGGCCGATTGTGTATGGCCGTTTGGTAATTGGCGGTTTGAGTATAGCTGTCTTTATAAATTCAAATACTACAGGGTGTTTCACCAGAAAAGCCCTTTTTGAAAAATTAATAACTTTTAACTGAGTTGAACGATTTTAATGAAATTTGGTAATTTGTATCTATATTTTATAAGGTTTTTTTGACATAAAAATTATGTCGAAATTCGAACCCTAACCCTTATTTCAAATACGTACTCAATCGTTCTCTTTTTTTTCTCTTTGCATTGCATGCTATCTTACTTCATTTATTTTCCTGTGAGTGGAGAAGAGTAGATACTGTATTGCAGTTGTAGTGTCTATCGCCTAGTGTTTACTCTAGTGTCTATCACCCGCTCGTAAAAACAAAAGGGAGTAAGAATGCATGTAGGAAAAAAGGGAAAAACAGAACGGTAGAGTACGAAATTATCTCGGGTTAGGGTTCGAATTATGACATAATTTTTATGTCAAAAAACCTTATTGTTTATAGCTAAAAAATACCCAATATCGTAAAATCTGTCTAAGTAGAAAAAAGTTATTGAATTTTCAAAAAGGGCTTTTCTGGTGAAACACCCTGTACAATAGAATCCAAACATCTATTTGCAATTTTGTATAAAATAATTTTGATTACATGAATAAATGGGACTCTAGAGTTTCTTCTGACACCTGCAAATCAAAAAATTTATTTCATTATTTAAGTATTATCATATGGGACTCTAGAGTCTCTTCTGACACTTGAAAATCAAAAAATTTATTTCATTATCGAAAATATTATCATATGGGACTCTAGAGTCTCTTCTGACACTTGAAAATCAAAAAATTTATTTCATTATCGAAAATATTATCATATGGGACTCTAGAGTTTCTTCTGACACTTGAAAATCAAAAAATTTATTTCATTATCGAAAATATTATCATATGGGACTCTAGAGTCTCTTCTGACACTTGAAAATCAAAAAATTTATTTCATTACCGAAATATTTCATTACCGATTCATTACCGAAATCTCTTCTGACACTTGAAAATCAAAAAATTTATTTCATTATCGAAAATATTATCATATGGGACTCTAGAGTCTCTTCTGTCACTTGAAAATCAAAAAATTTATTTCATTATCGAAAATATTATCATATGGGACTCTAGAGTCTCTTCTGACACTTGAAAATCAAAAAATTTATTTCATTATCGAAAATATCATCATATGGGACTCTAGAGTTTCTTCTGACACTTGAAAATCAAAAAATTTATTTCATTATCGAAAATATTATCATATGGGACTCTAGAGTCTCTTCTGACACTTGAAAATCAATAAATTTATTTCATTACCGAAATATTATCATATGGGACTCTAGAGTCTCTTCTGACACTTGAAAATCAAAAAATTTATTTCATTATCGAAAATATTATTATATGGGACTCTAGAGTCTCTTCTGACACTTGAAAATCAAAAAATTTATTTCATTACCGAAATATTATCATATGGGACTCTAGAGTCTCTTCTGACACTTTAAAATCAAAAAATTTATTTCATTACCGAAATATTATCAGATGGGAATCTAGAGTCTATTTTATACAAAAATCTTTATATTTTATACAAAAATCTTTATAAATTCAAGTACAATAATAGAATCCCAACATCTATTTGCAAATTTTTAAACCGCAATTATTCATGTAATCAAAATTATTTTATACAAAAATCTTTATAAATTCAAGTACAATAATAGAATCCATACATCTATTTGCAAATTTTTAAACCGCAATTATTCATGTAATCAAAATTATTTTATACAACAAAAATCTTTATAAATTCAAGTACAATAATAGAATCCAAACATCTATTTGTAAATTTTTAAACCGCAATTATTCATGTAATCAAAATTATTTTATACAAAAATCTTTATAAATTCAAGTACAATAATAGAATCCCAACATCTATTTGCAAATTTTTAAACCGCAATTATTCATGTAATCAAAATTATTTTATACAAAAATCTTTATAAATTCAAGTACAATAATAGAATCCAAACATCTATTTGCAAATTTTTAAACCGCAATTATTCATGTAATCAAAATTATTTTATACAACAAAAATCTTTATAAATTCAAGTACAATAATAGAATCCAAACATCTATTTGTAAATTTTTGAACCGCATTTATTCATGTAATCAAAATTATTTTATACAACAAAAATCTTTATAAATTCAAGTACTATAATAGAATCCAAACATCTATTTTTAAATTTTTGAACCGCATTTATTCATGTAATCAAAATTATTTTATACAAAAATCTTTATGAATTCAAGTACTATAATAGAATCCAAACATCTATTTGTAAATTTTTGAACCGCATCTATTCATGTAATCAAAATTATTTTATACAAAAATCTTTATGAATTCAAGTACTATAATAGAATCCAAACATCTATTTGTAAATTTTTGAACCGCATCTATTCATGTAATCAAATTTATTTTATACAAAAATCTTTATAAATTCAAGTACTATAATAGAATCCAAACATCTATTTGTAAATTTTTGAACTGGATTTATTCATGTAATCAAAATTATTTTATACAACAAAAATCTTTATAAATTCAAGTACAATAATAGAATCCAAACATCTATTTGTAAATTTTTGAACCGCATTTATTCATGTAATCAAAATTATTTTATACAACAAAAATCTTTATAAATTCAAGTACTATAATAGAATCCAAACATCTATTTTTAAATTTTTGAACCGCATTTATTCATGTAATCAAAATTATTTTATACAAAAATCTTTATGAATTCAAGTACTATAATAGAATCCAAACATCTATTTGTAAATTTTTGAACCGCATCTATTCATGTAATCAAAATCTCTTAACGTAATCGGTACGGAATACTGAAAAATAACGATAAACTTCAAAATTTTACCGATAAATAACGAAAAATACGGCCGTAGTACGGTACTTGCTCTATTCCTAATCATATTTTTAAAAATACTGCCTTATTGACTAAAGGTTCTTTGACGCAAGGTTAATAGACAAAAAATCATGGAACCTAAAACAAACGAAGAAAAGGATACTTATATATTTGTCAACTCCTGTATGTGTTTTTATTATGAATGTGTCTATAAACCAACCTTTATTTCCTGTGGGAAATAATTTTTGAAAGCTGTCCAATTATTTTTCTTATAATTTTTATTTGGATATTTACCCAATTTGTTTTTGAAATTTCTAGCAAACTCCTTAATACTTTTAAATATTTCATGAACAGATTTTTTAAGCTCAATATTATTTGTCGTTTGATTTAAATTCGTTTCTATGTCTGACTCTCCATTTTTTAAACTCTTTTCTTTGTAGTTTTCATTTTCGTCAATTTTTAAAGCGTTGAGTGCGGCTGTTAAATATGGAAATAATTCTAAGAAATTTTCTCGCAATTTGTTTTTATTGTTCCAATTGTTGAGAAAATTTTTAAGAAAAACTCGTAATTTTTCCGTCAATTTATCTCCATGCTTCTTGATTTTACTGAGTTTAAAATAGAGCTTTTCTATAGGCGTTTTCTTCATTATAACATTTTCAATAACAACCACAAACGAATTAATTTGTTTAAACTCATTTAGGAACACAATGTTTTTGCTGTTTGAAGCTTTATTTCTTATCCAATCAATTGGTCTCTTCAAATAATTGAATATTTTCTCAATTAAACGATCCACAAAACTTTTGTTCTCAACATTATCAAAAAGTTGTATTGCTCGAAAATCAACAAAATCTGGCGAGTAATTGTTACTGGAATCTCCGCTTACTGAAAAAGAAATTATTCTTATTTAGTCAATTCAAAGTCAAGAACGAAAATTACAAAACCGGGGAGAGCAAGTTTAGATTGACGGTAAAGGAACAGTAAGGTTTCTAATTAGCTAAAGATACTGTAGAGCATATAGCTATTTATTTCCTAAGGCTGTGCAGTATTCGGCGTGGTATAGAGGATAAAACACCAGTCCGGTCTACTGAAGATGCTGGTTCGCCCCCAGCCGCCGAATAACCTTTTGCACTAGCTAAAGGAGAGAAATAGCTATAGCCCAGCTGCTTTACTGGTAGCCTAAAG